GAAGAAAGCTGACAAGAAGAAGACGACGATGCTGGCTTTGGACCTGCCGTAGCCCCTCTCGGTGATGGGTATGTAGACGTGGCGCAGCGCCCACAGGTGCACGGGCCGGTTCCACGCGCTCCAGAAGGTGGCGATGTTGTTGGCGTTCCACCAGTCGCTGTAGAAGTTGCGGTCCGCGAAGTGCAGCAGCTCGCCCATCAAGTTCAAGAACGAGTGGAACGTCAGGTAGAAGAAACACAACCATATCAAATGGTTTGGAACCTGGAAATATTAAAATTCTTAAAAAAACTGTACAAAAAATTGCTGCTTATTTAACTTTTTCTACATTCTTTTTTATTCTTCAAATCTATGCTAATATTGTAGAAAGGGAAGAGTTGTGTTTTTTTAATTCTTGTATGTATTTGATTCACGCAAAACTACTCGACTGATTTTAAATATTCTTTCACCATTAGAAAGGTAATTTATCTTTATTTATAAAATATACTTACAGCGAGTTTCAAGAGCCTTTCCGCCATTTTAATCATATTCATCTCGGAGAACTGATGTACGCTGTTCGTAACAGTGGGTATCATCCATTGTTGGAATAACGCCATAACGAGATTGACACCGAAAACAACCTCAACAATCCTTTTAATAAGAAATCGCTTTCGGATTCTGTAAAAAGAAAGTAAACTCAATACTTGTATCATTGGCAATATTTGCTCATAAAAACAACTAATGAATTTATTTAAATATAAAGGAATATAAATAGGTTACCGTGTAGTGCGCGGGAAATTTAACTCATAGCATAATGTGGGTGCAAACAGAAAGTATATCAAGTCTTTGAGGTTGAGGTTGTCGGGGTACTGCACGAGGCGCGCCGCCGCCTCACTCTCATCATCCAAGGTTTCTGGTAACAACAACCATAGGTGTGGTACAACAGTGATTATGTCTCTATCCTGCACATAGAATAGGACAAGGACAGAGAATTGACGATTAAGTTTACAAGGACGGTGATCATCTCTCTCTCTTCCACATAGAGTGGGACAAGGACATAAAAACGTTTGAAAAATTGTTCAAACGAGAACCACGCGTATATGTAAAAAGCTGTTTTCTGTATTATTCAATTCTATTACAGCAAAGCAAAATATTATTGTTTATCCAATTTTTTTTGTTTAAAACATAGAAACTTACATTCCTATATATATAAGTATTGAATCAAGCACTATATAAACATCTCATTATGTTATATTTGAATAATAATTCAAAAAGGTATATCTTTTCAATATTTTTTGTATATTTTACAATAATATAGCTAGATTCAAAGCATTGTTACGGCATTAAATTTGTCCTAATTAGGTATTGATTAAAAATATATTAATTCATAATATCAAATTGTGCAAAAAATTATTTAGGCAATTAAAAATAGCTCATGTGCATGTGAAAAAACTATACATAAAGAGATACTAAAACACACACCAAATCCTTATTACCACAAAAAAAAAGCTCCGACAAGCAAACCATACCTATTTGTATGATGTTTTTAGCAGTTGTGCATATTACAATTTTATTAAAAAAGTTTTATTAAAACATTATGTACATTTTTCAATAAATTTTCCAGGATAGTGAAGAAACCTTCAAAACTAACCAATTATTAATTCATTATTAATTGTTAATGTAACTGATTCTTTAATAAAACTTTCCTATAAGCATGGCAACACTCAGTCATATTAGTGCTTTATGCAAACACACATATTTAACTTACGCTCATGTTCCGCGTTCATGAGTTCATCTGCAAATAGTATTTTGTTAAGTAAACATTTTCT